GATTCTATTTCTGAGCATCTGTTGCGACCAATTCCTTTGTGATCATTACAAACATTCATTTAATCTCACATTCATTCTCTTCTCCTAACATATGTGTTGCCATATTAGTGTTTAAAAGCTCTTGTTGACTTTGTACTTCAGGGTGCAGCCATTGAGGATGGCAGGCTGAAACGTGGCGATCAGATAATTGCTGTTAATGGACACTGCCTGGAAGGTGTGACCCACGCTGAAGCTGTGGACATTCTGAAAAAGACCAAAGGAACTGTCGTCCTCACCGTGCTCTCATGAGACAACTGCCCACTGTACCTCAATTTAATGACATCTTCCTAAAACAGCTCTGGAGGGCTGTGGTTGTTTCCTACAAAGCTGTAGAGTGATTCTCCTCTTGTAGAGGGCACTCTACATGTCAAAACAAGGCATATAATTATAAGAAGAGTATTTATTTTAAGTCTAAATTAAATTGCATTTAATTTGTGAACTCTACCTCCAACTGCAAACACAGCTTTGTTGTATTTACACTCAGTATTTAAAAATATAGCAGAGCATGTCCAGTTAAATCCAGTTAAGGAGCCGGGTATTGGGCCTCCGTCTTGGGCTTTGGGGATTGGATGCCTGAGTCCAGTCTGACCACTAAGCTCAGTCATTCTGGAGGGACTCAGAGTAGAGACGCTACTCCTCCAGTCCAGAAAGCCTAGAATGCCCTCTAGGTGGTGCTTTTTGTGGCATGTCTAACTGGCAGGAGACCCCCAGGGTGGACGCAGGACACACTAGAGAGATTTTATGCCTCAGGTGGCTTAGGAAAGCCCCAACAAGAGCTGGAGAAGGAAATAGCTAACGAGCACCTGAGACCCTGACCCAGATGAGTGGAAGAAAATGGTTGGATGGAGAGTTTAGCATTGTTGTGCATTATTTTTCATGTAAACACACTCATCAATACGTTACGTGTTCATACTGATATATATAATTGAAGCCTCAATTGACAGCAGCCTAGTGCTGGATTTTGATTATTACTTTAACAAACAAACAACTCCCAAGACTCAAAATATGCCAACTGCTTCTGCCAATCTTTTGTATGGCAATAGGATGTCTGCTTTGAAAGACTGTTGTACTTTTCTTTTCATTGTTGTGTTCGAATAATTAAAAATGTGTCATGATTTCATGAATATTGAATGTCTTAAGTGGCATGTCGATAATTAGCAATGATAACCACCTTATGTTAAACGGGACAGAGAATAGGAAAAAATGCATTTTGCTGCATCTGTTAGAAGCAGCTGCTGAGTATCGACTGTTATTTACCAGTGTAGTATTAATCAGTGTTTTCATAGTCTTCAACTTTAGCAGCTGTTTTTTTTAGGACTTGATTGTTGATGTTAATAGTTCAGTGTGAAATTAGACACCGTCTCCGTTTTATATAAATTTATTTACCTGACTTCACTCGGCTGTGATACTTATGTTTTCGACGCTGTAATTAATTTAATTAATATAAGAAGTCACTTCACACTTACATACACACATGGATGCACACACTTGTTTTCATATCTTAGTGAGGACATCTAATTGACATAATGTTTTCCCTAGCTGCTTACCCTAACCCTAACCATCATTTGTATTGGTCCTCACAAAGATATATAAACATGGTACACACGCACTGGTATTGTGTAACCAAATGTTCTGTAAGTGATCTTATTAAATGTTATTTGTTAAAGTTTTGTATCCAAAACCTTTTGAAGTTTAGGACCTTGTGTTTCTGTTTTTCTTACCTTCTGATTTTAAGGATGAGGTTTTTTTTTCATCTTCTTTATTAATGAATACCAACAAGTTATATTTTGTGATTTCTCTCACCGAGTAGGATAAACCTTTTTTTTTTTTCAGTTTTCAAATTTCACACATGCACACCACCAGTATCTGAGAAAAGCTCTGAACTGTTAAACAAGTACAACTGAGCTGAAAGTCACATTTTTAATGGATAGAAGAAGCAAGAGTCTTCTTTTTTCTTTATTTTATGTTATTTTTTTGCAGATTTTTTTTGCATGTTTCCAAACCAGTGAACTGAATTTCGCCTTGGAGGTGTTTTCCTGTAGCTGTTATGCTCTTTGTCTTTATCCCTCTCTCGCACTTTTTCTCCACCTTTGTCTGCCATGAGTACATATGCAGCATCACTCACGTTTAGTCAAGGTGACAGGATGAAGTGCCTGTCGTGCTTGGAATGACAGGCAGCTCTGAATTACGGAGGAGTCGTGAGGAGAGGAGAGAAGAAGGGGGATGAGCTAGATTAGAGAAAAGGCAACATTTTATAGAAGGCTGAGAAGATCAGTCTAAAGTTTGGACAAAGACGTTTTAAACCTGAGGTCCGACAATCACAGAGGAAGAGGAAACCTGTGACTTTTTTTTTAAAGGAAAATCCTCAGTACTTTCACTTTAATTACCAGAGTTACTGGTGACAACTTGATAAACAATACATTTGCACACAAATGTCTCATTTAGGAAATAGGAGGCATCTAGGGAGATCCTGTCTGGAGCCTCGGCATTAATCAAAGCCATCTGTTCACATTGCAAGCTTTATTGAAACCCAGCCATCGCGGTCTGCTTTATCCTTCTCCAGATGAACAATTGCTTCCCTGCTGGCCCGAGGAGAAATGGAGAAACGGTGTAATGCTTTTTTTTTCTCCTTTTTTTTTTGCATTTCACTTGGATCTTTGCTGTAATATAAGAATGATAAACATCATATTTGGTATTTTTTTCACATCCACAAACATTTGACCCCTGTGGATTTCCAGTTCCATACAAATAACTGACAGAGAAGCAGATGAAATTACATCTATTTTTCTTCTTTTTTTCATTAAGAGGAAGCAAAAGGACTTATCTGCCGTTTTTGGTTTTTTTTTTCAAAATCAGCCTCAAATTTCATGACAAACATTTTTAAGGGGAAGAGGTCCAGCCACAGGGAACAGGACTTTTTTTTCCTACCCTTAATCATACACCATGTAGCACAGTAACTTCTTTGGCTGCAGAAACTGCAATGCATTTTTTTTTTGCAGATGACTTTCATGAGAGCATGCTTGAAAGGCACTAATGAGCCTCTCTCTCTGGAGGATAGCAGTGGCCAAATGATTGTTCTATGTGTGACTGTCACATCGATCCATATTCATAAACATAGGGGACCGTGTCTTTTTGCTGTCAGTGTAACCTGGTGATACAGAAAGTACAGCCAACTGATGATGGGTCCAAAAAGTCTTCTTCTCCATCCTTTCCCATGAGGTCCTTTTTCAAGATATCAGCATGCACTGCAAAAATACCGGTCCTTTGAAATTCACTCCAGTCAGTGCTGAGTGTTAAAATCTTGATTCCCATAAAGCAAGATGTCCCAAAATATCCCAAAAGGAAGAGTTAGGTGCCACTAAGTCCACGTCATTCCCATCAAATGAGCGAATGAGCTGGACTGAGTTGGCATTTGGCACACAGACGCAAAAAAGCGTGCACGGTGGTGTGGCTTATATTCAGTGACATAGCCTAGAGCAAGAAATAGTTAGACCTCATCATGAAACAGCAGGCAAACACTGGATGACGTCATCCGATTATGAGTTTGAAAACCGACCGAACAATGCTAATGAATAATGCTATTAATTTTACATGCGGCTACACACATCTGTACTTGGATTAATTTAGCAATAAATTAATTTAGCAATAAATTAATCCAGAAATAAAGTAAATTTCAAGTGATGAAAGTTCCGTAGTCTACTGTGTAGTTTTTACAGAAATCTTTTTAACGCTTATTCAATAAACCACTGAATTTCTCACGGTTCACAAAAGCTTATTTCTGAAAATTTTGTTAGATACTCTGAATATAAAAAAAAAACATGTCCGTTTTTAAATGTCCGTTGATCACCCTCGGCTTAAAAATCCTCAAATTTGGGGACACTGTGGTTAAGTAAGTGTTTGTTTTGGGGTGGGGAGTTTCTGCTGAAAATGCAGCTTCACATCAGAAAGACAGCATCTCCACCCTCCATCTCCATGACGCCCTTGCTGTAGGTACGAGCTTGAAGACTTGCTGTAAGCCTCCAAAGCTGCAACGTAGGATCCTAAATTGTGCATACGGTGCGCCTTCGTGGTAATTAGGCATGCAGTGACAGGTGGCCGCCTTTTGTGACAGACAGGACAGGATTATTTATTTATTCAAGGCAAACGATATTATGTATGTAAAACTATCACACACACAAAAAAGCCAAAGTTATAAAAAATAAAAGTAATAAATCTGTGCCAAAAGGGCAATCTAGTCTTACAACTCGAAGGTACCAGCTTATAGGTGTGGACAGTGTAGCAGTTTTATGGTGTCATGAACATTTAAAATTCCACGGTGTGCTTAAAGTCACATTAAGTTTTGTCTTTGATATTCCCTACAAGCAGTTTAAAAAAATTAGGATACGAGTGTAAACGAAGAAAAAAAAACGATTTCCTCCTTTCGCAGTAATCCTTTAGATCCACTTGAGGGCGGTACATCTGCTGTTTTGAACACATGGAAATTTGCATGGGCTTGATTTGAGAAGTAACATTACGTCTAAGTGGTGTGATTTGCCAGTTGGCCTGAGGCTTGAGATAAGCAAATTTATGCCTGCGGCATACAGGCCTGCAATGGTGTTTTCATAAAATACTGCTTGTTCACACAAAAACAGAGTGAGTTAAAAGTTTTTTTAAAAGATGAAAAGGAATAGAAGCATATTCCTATAGAAAGAGATCATTTCATCTGCACGGATAAACATATATTTGTCAGCTGAAAATGGGCAGCGAGGTGGAGTCACTAAATAGTGTAGCTCTGACATGTAGCTTTGGAGGGTTCAGTCCCAGTAGCTGCTCCTATGCTTGCTGTGTACTTATCTGAGCACTGGATATCAGCTCTTGCAGTTATTATAATCTTGGCTGCAGTCTGAAAATCTGCTGTATGTGCTCAACAAAAGATCCGCCAGACCCTCTCCGCCTTTCAATTCATAAATGCAGACACACAATTAAGCCTCAAAACCAGTTCACCTTTATTAGAAGAAATGGAGGAATAATTAAAAAAAGGAAAACAAGACAAATTTATGTATGTAAATGTTGGGTCCTCTCAAGATAATCGAAAATGTTAGACAACGGACTGTGATTTGTCCAGCCTGCGGTCTTCCTCTGAGTAGCGTCGGTAAGTTTCTGCCAACAGCGGCTCCAGGGCCTCGGCAGAGTTGTAAGAGTGAGAACGCATAGCGCAGGCTATGACGATACCAACCACCACCACAACCAGCACTGCAGCAATAACGGCTACGCTGATGATCTCAGAGAGGGTGAAGGTACGAGCTATGAGGGAAAAGAGCGGACGGTTATGAGCAATTCCTGGATTTTGTGGATCTGCGCATGCTTACACGTTCTCTGCTTCTCACCCGGCCACTGGACCTCATATGAGTATCCCAGGTTTTCTGGGGCAGGCACAAACATCTCAGCATTGGTGACAGGCGGCCAGAAAGGAACCATGTTGAACCTGCTGTTGTGTCCAATGGGAGCGTTCTCATCGGGGTAAACAGTGTCACCTGAGAGAGTGAAGAATATGTCAATCCATCTATTCATTCTCCAAAGTGAATTTTGTTGTTTGAATATTCGCAAAGGTGTACCCGGTTGATGCCTGCGGAGCCACTCGTCAAAGACTGCATCGGTAAAGGTGTGAAGCAAGACAAAGATGGGATCATTGGGCGACAGGTGAGTCTGTCCACCCGTCCCGTTGAGGAAGAGGTGGGCCAGATTGTGAAGACTGCGGATCACTGGGTCGTACATCCCCTGGGGGGCGCTGTAGCCTTGAAATTATGGAACAAAAAATGAGAAAAAAAAAAGGAAAACGTTTAATGAAGACTCTGATTTACCAAAATTAGGAACAACAAATGTTGTGTTGGAGCTAACCATATGTGCATGTGGGTGGAGGATTGAGTGAGTGTTTTTCTGGCTTTGTGTTTCATCTATACACTCACACAGTATTCAGCAGCTTTATTTTCTGAGCTGAGCCCAAGAGAAACTGAATATTTCCTTGGATTGGGTTGATGGAAGAATGCTAAATCTCAACTACTGCTTTGGCTCTAACCTATGAGTCATGTTGAATGTGGATCACCTTCGATGGTGTTCCTGAAGCTCTCGGAGGAGGTGGAGTAGTAAGGAGGGGTATCAAAGGTGTTGATCTCCAGACAGTCCAGCACATCTTTGGGCTCCGGCAGCCTCTGCACCATGGGCCGCGCCACGTTGCCTGCTGGGTTCCTCCTGATGGGACTGCTCTCTGTGCCTTGGAGATGAAGAAAGGACTCAATAAAACTAGGTTAAGCGAAATATAATTACTTTAAAATAATAAAGATAACTTCTGATTACTGGCACACTAAGACCTAAGATCAGGCACAAGCCAGAGGTCCCTACAGATATGGCTTGATTGAAAATGTATTATTTAACCACCTTCTAACTCTGTGTGGGAGACTCTACTAGTTTGATCTGCCTTAAACATGACAGGATGGCAGTTTTCTTTTTTAATTATTCAATAAAAGTCAACAGTAGTGAGTGGGAGCTTTGTGACTGAACAGAAGTCTTTTTTTTCTTTTTTTGTCTCTCTTGCATGTATGATCTCTTTCTCTTTTTTCAGGCTTTCTCTCCTACACACAAGCACATAAACAGAAGGCTACATAACCGAGTTGTCTGTCTGTTTGAAGATTATTCCCTCAGATCAAAGGAACCAGTAGACTGTTAGATTCCTGTCTTCAACAAGCACATGCACAAATGAGGCAACCCCCTTAACCCATTTAAGGAGATGTTGCTTGTTGACGCAGGAAATACCAGGCCTGTCATGACTCTCTGGGGGGAATAACAAGATAGATAAAAAAAAAACATCCCCACATACACGACACATCCACTGAAATTAAGCTCCCGAACAACTTACTCAGTATGTGTTCTCTTGCTAAAGCCAAT